GGATGTGTGTGGATTCTGGTTGAATCGAGCTGTTTATTTTAAGCTTTACTATGCTTCTTGTAAAATATGGAGAATTGCTAACTGGCCATTGGTAGAGATACATTTTTTTATTCGATATTAAGAATCAGTCTTAAATTATTTTTAGCTTTTGTTTATCATCGAATTAAAGTATATACTTACCTAAAGCTAAAATAAAGTGAAGTGGGCAGATGGCCAGATATATAAGGAATAAATCAGAATGTTGCTCTAGTGAAACTTTACTTATAACAGTATAGTTCGAGGTTCGATTCACGTGGCAAATACAGCTCATTTGGCAGCTTTGTGCTAAAAAAAACAAAAAAAGAGGAGTGTGTCATATAAATCTTATTATGTTTAGCTAAGCCTAGTTTTGTTTTCTGTATCTATTGCTCCAAATAACCTGTCAAGATGATAGACTATTCAACACTAGAAACTAATGTATCAATGATGTGTCTTAAAGGGGGGGGGGTGACTCTTTATTTGTAAGACACTTATATTCTACATAGCTCATTTTACAAAATTTTTTTTCTTGAGTTATAGATGAAAAAAAAACATATTTTATAGGCAGGATATTTTTATTTTGATCAATTCAAATATGAAAACTGTTTAAAAGGGATAAAATTATATATTTTAAAATAATTTTTGTTACTGTTTGTTTGGAACCTCAGTGGCACAGCAGTAAGTTCTAACAACGCTATAACCCGGATACTCATGGTGGGCACAGCACATATAGCCCATTGTGTAGCTTTGTGCTTAACTATATACAAACAAATAAACAAACAAACTGTTTGTTTGTAGTTAAGCGTAAGACTACACAATGGAATATCAAGTTATTCCGGAGCCACCGTGGAACTGTTTTGTTATGTCTAGATAGATAGATTGTAGCTGTGCTATTTATATTTTTTTCAAGAACTTACGGTGACGTCTTTTGGGTAGGAAAAAGGACCACTTCTCTTCCCTGCTCTTAATATTATATTCTTATATTTTGAGACCAATAAATATATATATATATAACGTGTTATATTTACAAGTAATATAACAAATGATCAGAGCAAATGTTCCCAAAGTAGACCGATTTTTAGATTTTAACCTTAAAACACCGAAGACCATTTGGAGGCCTAACTCCCCTGAACCTCAACTAAAAATCCCTCCACCGAAGACCGTTTAAAGGCCTAACTCCCCTGAACCTCAACTAAAAATCCCTCCACCGAAGACCGTTTAGAGGCCTAACTCCCCTGAACCTCAACTAAAAATCCCTCCACCGAAAACCGTTTAGAGGCCTAACTCCCCTGAACCTCAACTAAAAATCCCTCCACCGAAAACCGTTTAGAGGCCTAACTCCCCTGAACCTCAACTAAAAATCACTCTTATTCAAATCTGTAATGCGCTTTTATGCAGACAGTAACTTATGATTCATAATAATAGTTTGTATTCTCCTATTTCAAAGCTCCCCAGTGGCACAGCGGTAACTTGCTAGAAACCGGGTTTCGATACCCGTGGTGGGGTGAGCAGAGCACAGATAGCCCATTGTATGACTTTATGCTTAATTACAAAGAAAAAAACATTTCAAAAAGGAAAAGCTAATTATAAATAATTCTCAAATAAATTACATCATCCTTCTCACTGAAAATAGGCCTAGCCAGTGATCCGAATTAGAATATAACTAATACTGCAATATATATATATATATATATATTTCTAGTAGAAATTTATTATTTATTATATTACTTATTATATTTTATCCATACACACTTGTCGCTATTGATGTCAAGAAATTCTTTTTTTACAGCCAGTAACTTCAAATGTAACAGCACATGGGACGGAGTATCATGTTGGCCTTCAACATCAGGTGGAGCTACTGCAGAAATTTCTTGCTTTGGGGAGCTACGTGGTGTCTTTTACGACACAAGTCGTAAGTACAAACGTGTGGTTGTATAGATATGAAATTAATATAGCTGGTTATATATAGATATGGGATCAATGTAACTGGTTATATAGTTTTATCAGTTTATCGTGTTAAGTATGGATAAACCTGTTAGTACGTTTTCTCCTGGCTCGGCATGGCCAGGTGGTTACGGTGCTCGACTCGCAATCTGAGGGTCGCGGGTTCGAATACCCATCACACCAAACATGCTCGCCCTTTCAGCCGTGGGGGCGTTATAAGTGACGGTCAATCCCACTATGCGTTGGTAAAAGAGTAACCCAAGAGTTGGCGGTGGGTGGTGATGACTAGCTGCCTTCCCTCTAGACTTATACTGCTAAATTAGGGACGGCTAGCGCAGATAGCCCTCGTGTAGCTTTGCGCGAAATTCAAAAAACAAACAAAAAAATCAAACGTTTTCTCCGAGTATCCTGTTAAGCGCATTAGACAATAGGTAAGATCCAAGTAAGACAAGAAGTAAGATCCAAGTAGCTAACAAAATATATCAATATTGATGTAATCCTGTCACGATGAAGAGGATGAAGATGAAAGACCAACAGTAAAATGGGAAACTATTAATGGATGTAGATCTAAGTAATCTAGTTGTTGTTGTCGTTTTCTTGCTTCTTATTAAATTGTAGTTAATTCTATTTATTTGATTTATTTCTTCGATAAAAACATAAAATCCCAAATAAATTTTAATCTCAAATATACCACTATATATCCAAATACCAAGAATAAGATCAAAGAAATAATTAGTTTTTGAAACAATTATAATTATACATCTTTTGAGAAAGCCACTTTTAAACTTACTTATAAAAAAGAAAAAAACCATTACCACTTTAAAGATTCAATTGTCAAATAACTAAGTAAAAAAAAAAAGTCCATAAGTTAATTACAAAGAAAACGGTGTGCTTTAAAACATATTATTCGTACATGGGCGTGTCTGGGATTTCCTATTCATAGATTTTCAGAATTTTTTCTCGTATCCCGTAAGGTGGCTAAAACAGAATATTTGATTTACATTATCTGAATCCTAAAACGTGAAAATATCGGCTTCGAAACCACCAGAAAACATGTGCAAGCTCTAAGAAAAAGTAGGATAGTGATATACATCGTAGCGGATATCCTGCGAACAGGGAAGATTATATACAGCGGAAGTAACATCAGTTTATATCCGTGGTCAAACATTACTTCCTTTCTAATCTGTCTTGACCGACATTGGTTTCCTTAGCTTCCCGCAATGATAAGAACCTATAGAAAGGACATACGCCTGTCTGTTCTGCTGTTAACAGTGACTTAAAAACTGTGGTAGTTGTTCTAGCAGTGGCTACCTCCGACAAAGGTTTAACCATAAAATTATCTAATCGTTTTATACCCCCCCCCGTGGGGCACCATATATTGAATTACATTGAGTTATTTTATGTTTTTGCGACACTCATTATGAGAAACTGACCAAAATAATTGTTGTTCTATGTAATATGCATGTGGGACCCCAGTCACTCGTTATTCTGTGTAATATACATGGGGACCTCAGTCACTCGTTGTTCTGTGTAATATACATGGGGGACCTCGGTCACTCGTTTTTCTGTGTAATATGCATGTGGGACCCCAGTCACTCGTTTTTCTGTGTAATATACATGGGGACCTCGGTCACTCGTTGTTCTGTGAAATACACATGAGGGACCCCAGTCACTCGTTTTTCTGTGTGATATACATGGGGACTTCAGTCACTCGTTTTTCTGTGTAATATGCATGTGGGACCCCAGTCGCTCGTTTTTCTGTGTAATATACATGGGGACCCCAGTCACTCGTTTTTCTGTGTAATATACATGGGGGACCTCAGTCACTCGTTGTTCTGTATAAGATACATGGGGGACCCCAGTCATTCGTTGTTCTGTGTAATATCGCTTGACAGGAACGTAACGTCACCTTCAATGTTATAATATCGCTTGAAAGTAACGTAACGTCACCTACAATGTCATAATATCGCTTGACAATAACCTAACGTCACCTAGAATATCATAATATCGTTTGACAATAACGTAACGTCACCTACAATGTCATAATACCGCTTGACAATAACGTAACGTCACATACAATGTCATAATATCGCTTGACAATAACGTAACGCCACCTTCAATGTCATAATATCGCTTGACAGTAACGTAACGTCACCTACAATGTCATAATATCGCTTGGAAATAACGTAACGTCACCTAGAATGTCATAATATCGCTTGGCAATAACGTAACGCCAGCTTCAATGTCATAATATCGCTTGACAATAACGTAACGTCACATACAATGTCATACTATCGCTTGACAATAACGTAACGTCACTTACAATGTCATAATATCGCTTGACAATAACCTAACGTCACCTAGATTTTCATATTCAAAACCGTTATGCCACAAAGTATTCAATCATGTATGTTATTCTGGAACAAAGAGCTAGTACGTTTTTCTTTAGTACTTCAGAGCTATCTGCGTTCCCTAATTTAGAAGAGGTAAACTAGAGGAAAGGTCAGCTAGTCAAAATCACCCATCGCCAACTCTTAGGGTACTTTTTTTACCAAGGAATAGTGGGACTAAGAGATTAATCGTCACATTACAACGCCCCTACAGCTAAAAGTGCGAGTATGTTCAGTGACGGGATTCGAAACCGCGACCCACAGGTTGTATTATGACATTGTAAGTGACGTTACGTTATTGCCAAGCGGTATTATGACATTGTAAGTGACGTTACGTTACTGTCAAGCGATATTATGACATTGTAGTGACGTTACGTTATTGTCAAGCGATATTATGACATTCGACTAGAACCACTGAATCGGCTTGAAGTCCCTTCTGACTGGATTCAACTGGTTTATAACAGTTTTCGACTTCTTTTGATCCATATCACTTTGTTTTCCAGTGACATCTTGGAAATTCTAAATCCACAGTCTGAACACATCTTTATGATCGAAGTGTATGCATATTTTGTGACGGAAAGAACTGGCAGCGACAAACAATGTCAAAGTGTAGTTATGATTGATGCCGTCCTACAGTGCTACGGTTGTCACGTGGCTTGTACATTCAAACCCTTAAACCTGATTGGGTGTTTTTGTTTATAATGTCGCATTTTTAATGTTCGTATTTTATTATTTTCGCGCACAGGTACATAAAGTGTTCACTGCGCTAGTCGTCCCTAGTGTTAACTGCGCTAGCTTTCCCTGGTGTTAACTACGCTAGCCGTCCCTAATTTTGAACTTATGGACTAGAAGAATGGCAGCTATTCAATAGCACCCACCGCTAACTTTTGAGATACTATTGTCTGACCAAATTGTAGGATTTTACTGTCGCTCTTATAATTCACCCATGGCCCTAAAATGCAGAAAGAGATTTTGCGTTAACGGGACGCGAATCATGAATCCTCAGCCCTTTTGCATTTTAACTACGATGCTTAATGTTTCTCAAGATTTTTTACAGTCTGTCTGAGTTTTAGATTATACTAGCCAATGGCAGAAGAGTATCTTTACTGTTAACTAAATTTGGACGAATGAAAATGACTGTTTGGAGCAAGAACAAAGATCTTGAATTCATTGAAATGAAATATGAAGGTTTGCATCAATTGATAAGGCAGACTAGAAAATAAAAAAAAAGATGTGGCAGATCACGCTGTACATAACATCTTTCGGCTCCCTTCTAAATACTTCGTTTAGATTGAGCTTGTCACGAAACCTGAGAAATAGATGTTCGTGTGAATGTTGTCATGCTTCTATTCAAGTGCGCTTATAGTGCAGTCAGCAACAAGAAAGAACTTATAATCGAGAAGAAGGCTTTGAAAGAGACCGCTTCAAGTCTGTGAAAAGTGATTCTGGGGAGGAGAAAGAAGGAAAGAGCGGGAGATTGTTATGAGAGTTGAGAACTAGAAACCTTACTTCCGGAAAGGATACTTACGTTTCCATGAAGATGTACGGTTGCTGTGGAAAGTCATTTAGTAATGGGTTTCTTTGTAGAAAAAAAAAGGGCAAACTAATAGTCTTCCAGTGTCACATGATTGAAATAAACATTCATGGATCGTAGTTAAAGCCATAGATCAGCCTAATGGAGATTTAGCTAGACGACTCTTTGTGCTACTTTATATAAGCTATGTAGATAGAGATATGATAAGATGGTTTCCATTGGTCTTTCTCTGGTATTGTGAACAATTTCTTATTACCTCTATAGGCTTGGCTGACTTAAAGATCAGTTAGCAAGAATGAATGATATCACCGTCCCTGTTCCACTGTGTACATTAATCATTTATCAAAGTCATGAAAAACCAAAATGAAAAGTAAAAAAAAAAGCCTGACGTAGGACTGAATATCCTAATTGCTGAAATAAAATAATATAGGAACACGAAAAACAAATACTAAAAACATACACAACCAAAAGTGAAATATATTTTATATCAAATTTCAGAGTCTATTTTAGACAATAAGCTATAAATACTTTGAAGACTTGAACACAATTTACTAGAATCACTGACGTAGCAAGAGTCCCTAATAATAAGTGTACAGTCTCTCTTACTGCCAAAAATAAAACTAGGTTATTTTAAACAATGCTAGTTCTAGTTGTTACAGGCGGTTGCTATGCGACACACGAAAGCAAAGACCAATAAGAGACGATCACTGTATTTTATATTTATTTTTAACGCTAAAAAAAATACGTTTTTAAATAAGTGAGACTACCTATGTCTGTGACACGAAATATATTTTTATCTTTTTCTTGTCAATGACGTGTTTCAGTCATTTAAAAACACTGTATTTGTTTTCAGGTTGTTTCAACATCGGAGAAATTCCCAAATCCTAAATGTTGTTATCTTCACGTTAATACTAGAAATAAACGACCTTATAACACCAAAATGTTGTTTTTATTTAATTAGACACTCAACCTTTCGCTTTATAGCTTCTTCGGAAGTCACTAAATCACAAACCGGTGTTATAAGGTCGTTTACTTCTAGTATTAATAAGTCTTCTCTACACCAATATGCACTACAAGAAATTAAATAACATCTTCACATTGTTATGTTTGTACAAAAGCGATTTGGCTCTACAAACATACAGTATTGTTACAAAACGTTTTAGAAATGTTTACAATTGTTGTAATTCTATATATTATACAATATCCTAAAATTGTTGTAGTAACAGATAATGCATCGTAAACACACGAGAAGATTGTTCAATAAACTTTTAAAACTGTTATTTTACCGCTTTATGTGCTATTATTTTCTATCATTTCCAATTGATTTGATTTTTATTGCCTTCTATAACTTGCAAGTGTTTTTTTGATCGTTTTCTTTGCTATTATGTTTCGTTTTTTTTTAATATAAAACTTGCGAAATTTTCAGTGACCTCTGTAAAAACGGTCTCACTTGCCCCCCTACTTATTACAAACCACTTTTTGACACGAACTAATCATTGATATTAGGCTAGGGATCAATGAATTTAGATAAGCTTCTATTGGTTACAAAATAGGACGTTATAACAGACGTGTCAGTAATCAGTCTTTTTTTTTATTTCTGAATAAGTCTATGCTATCAGTATTTCCTGTTCTTTATCTGTATTACCCTGTTTATCAGAGTGACGCTTGACAAGCTTATTCTTCAATCTGTATCTAAAATTCTCCGATGCGCCAAATGAAGTAGAAAATGCGAGACATTCCAGTTTATAGTGTAGCAGACTTTCCAGATCCTATCTATATGTCAGGGAGTCTAACAGTTAACATCAATATTTAACTATAAAAGTCAACCCTGCGTTTAAAAAACAGCAACTCTGAATTAAATAAAACAGTTTCACGTGTAATGAAGGATTTTCTTATTCATTGGGTGATCAATTATACACATGTGTATAAGTGCATTATAAAACCATCATTTACCTTTCATTAAATTACAAGATTTTTTTTCTCGTTCAGAAAATGCCAGTAGAGTGTGCTACGAGAACGGAACATGGGCTAAAAGATCAGATTACTCGAGATGCAAACCGCTACCAGGAGACGAAGAATTTTTAAAGGTAATATATGTATACTTTTATATACATAATCTATTGTAATAATACCCAGTTTTGTCTGTTCTGAAATGCGCGCGCACCTTACTATCTAATCGTGCATGCTCGCATACTTCATTTCAACTGATCTAAGTAAACTAAAGCAAAAAACGTACACGTTACAGTATTAATTTATCTTTTTATTGAATAAAGGCTTAACTAATGTTAGGCCTAAGACAAGTGGACTTATAGATTTCGGTGTCTGTGTTTAGAATTCTTTTGTATTATTATAGCAATTTTGTATTTAAAGAAGTACTGTTGCAATAAAGAACTGATATAATGATAATAATAATATTAAACATATTAACTCCGTTTAGTTGGTACTTTAGTTTTAGCTAATATGAAAGTTTCTTGTCTCAATAGGTTCTGTGGGATGTGAAAGAAGCCACCACCATCTACTTTGTTGGTTATGGCATCTCCTTGGCCGCCCTCTTTGTCGCTCTGTGGATATTTCTGCATTTTAAGTACGTTGTAATTTTGCCCTCCGATGTGTTACTAATACATTTTGTGCACTCAACCGCACCACAAACTTGGTGTTCCATGTATACTTCCGCTCGAAAGAGGATGTTAAATGTAACATTTTCATAAATGATCTCAGAAGTTTGAAAGGTCAACGTAATTTTCTGTTTGTAAACTGTCGGCAAGAGGGGGGGGGGGTCATCAAGTTCAGACAAGCATAAAGGGGTTCCTATCATCCAAAGCAGCAAAATTTTTTACTTTTGTTAATTTTATTTGAATCTTATTTATAAAGCCAATAAACAAAAGAAGAAGAAACGCATTTTTGATTCTATCCGCACACGGAAAGTAACTTGAATTATAAAAGAAACTCCTAAACCAATAAAGATGCTTGAAATATCAGAATGAAAACAGAACAGATAACACTTGTTTTACAACTCGCCTTTTTATTTAATTTGCTGTCGTCTTTTGGTTTGATTATTTGCTTGCTAAGTTTCGCGTATCGCTACTCAAGGGTTATCAGCGCACCTGTTCTTGAGCTATTCTTATCAGGTTAAATAGTTGGATTTGATGTTCACTCTTATAACGCACTCACAACACCAAAGTGCAGCGTGTAATTTTTAAAACATTTTTTTAGTACCGGTAATGGAACGCGATCCATGAACCCACAGCTCAGCACTGTAACCACTAAGCTACGCTCGGCTTGTTTTTTTTAAACTGTTAATTTATACAGTAATCGTGACATAAAGCTCACTGACATTCCAGAACTTTAATTATGCTGTTTTAAAATAATCAAATACAAGGAAAGAAGAGCTGCACGAACGCTACCTGTATTAGCTGTTCCTAATTTAGAAGTGATAGACTAGAGTGAAGGAAGCTAGTCAACACTGCCCAACGCCAACTCTTAAGTTACTATCTTATCAACGAATTGTGGAATTGATCATCACATTATAACGACCCCACGGATGAAAGGGCGAATATGTTCGATGGTGGAGATTCGAACCCGAGACTCACAGATTATAACTCGAGTGCCCTAACCACAGGAACATGCTAGGTCTATTCAAATACTACCGGAGTCTCAATCCACTGGAGAGTAAAAAAAAGTATGAATAACACCTTAAATAATGGTTCAAATTATTCATTCTTTCGTTCCTTTATCTAAAGATGTTTTCTTAGTTCAAAACTACACAATGGGCTATCTGTACTCCGTCCACTGCAGGGAATCCAACCCCGGATTTTAACATTGTAAGTCCTGTAACCTTACCGTTGAACCACGGATGATTCTTTTACCTTATTTAAAAACGAGCATTTCTATAAATTCTAGATTTTGTCAAAAACAAGTTTTTCTGCAAGGCTGGTTCTTTTTTTAAAACATATTCCACAGAGAAAAATGACAAACTAATAAGATTGGCTTAGTGAAATGTAAGTAAAATGGCTATCCGCTGTACTTTACAAATGGAAACGCAGAAGTTATTTCCTTTTAGAATTTGTTGTTGTTGTTGTTTTCAGAGCATTTAGTAACCGATATTTTATTTCTAGTTCCTTTGTTTTTCATGGTTATGTTTAGCATGTATTCCAGCCTAATTTTACAGATGTCATCCCAAACCTGAACTCTTCAGCTTTTGTTATTAAAATGGTATTGGTATAAACAACAAGAAAAATTATGATATAATTGTCAAGTTATCTGAGAGAATACGGACGCATTTTATATGAAGAGTGTATGGCACCACGAGCGACTTAGTTAGTAACTATATTTGGTTCTTGGCGAATTTCCAGTCATTAAATACCACATTGGCTCCACTTATAGACTTATGGCTAGAGAAATATGTCCAGAAGGATATTTGTATAGCGAGATTGTTGAATGATCTGGAGAAGGAAATGGTCTCCATGGAAGCGACAAAACTTACACATCAGGGTATTTAGGACAGCTACCTTTTATGATATCATCCTCTTAGCCAATTCGAAGCAAGTGAAAGCTGAAGTAACAAAAGAGAACCTTCCGACCCCAAAAAATGTTTGTAATGAAGCTGGGCATATCTTTTAGTATCGATAATAAGTTAATAAACAAGTATTTGAAGCTTATACTTCTTATACTGAAAGAGCGCAGAAAACAATAGCACCTGTATAAAAGAAACCATTTTTAACTGAGTCAATATCTCGCAGTATTCTAGACAGCAAAGTACATGAAATAAATAGCAATATTTATGTAAGGTATTTCATTGATAGCTATAATAATATATAGCATAGAAAATGATTGAAATTGTTTGATTAGAATTAGTGTATAATAACTTAAGGTTCTTTGTTCATTAAAAAAACCTGATGACGACTCCTGAAGAGTGTCAAAGGGTAGTCCAATAAAAAAAAAATATTTTAAACTCGTTCCACATTAGAGTGTTTTATTTAGTTTAAAATTTGAATTAACTATCTCAAACCACAATATTGATCTTTAAATATTTATGGTGGAACGTAAGTTTCCAAAACGTATGCCAAACCGCACGTGTATCTTTTTTTTTAGAGATCTGAGGTGTTTACGGAACACTATTCACACCCACCTCATCGTCACCTATATCCTGATTGACTTGATGTGGATTCTAACCGCTTCGCTACAGATTGGACCTGCTCCTTCGACACTAGCAACAAAGGTAAAACACGACACAAAAGTTAATACGAGACAACAGTAACAACGGTCTTTAAATCTTGTAACTATGATGCCATCTGAACATCAACGGTTACCAGGACAACCAGAACCAGTAGTAGATGAGATCGTGATAATCATTTTATACAAAGTTTATTAAGGATGATTTTAGCTTGAAACGGTAAAAATCACGCTTTGGAATTTGTATTTATAAAATTTGTTTGTTTGTTTATAAGCACAAAGCTACACAATAACTTATCTGTGGTGAGCCCACCGCAAGTATCGAAATCTGATCTTTAGCGTAATAAGCTATCAGACTTTTCACTGGGTCACTGTGGGCTGTTTAAGTAAAAAAAAACAACTAAAAACAAACAGACGTTATTCCGTTTAGTATTAAGAGCAGAACGTCAGATGGAAATTATGTTTTATATACCCATATGGTTTGGAAAAGAATATTAATATATATTTAACTGATGTATATATATATATATATATAAGGTTTGCTATTAATACGATTTTCATAACAGCTAGGTACTTTTACAAGTTGAGAAAATTAATTTCTAATGCAGAAATAAGAAAATAATATTTCTTAATATCTTAAAACTCCTCACAAGTAACTATTTGCCAGTTAAGGTAAACTGGTGTTTTTTATTGGTGGAAAAAAATCAATTTAAATAACAGACCTAAAGTTTTTACACCGTTTTTTTAAAAATATAACAAGATAAATTTTATGAAAATAATCACTACCAAAAAAAATCCAGATAAATAAAACTTTTAATGTAGCCGACGTTTTTACTTACGTCTTTATCAAGGGTTAGGCGTGTATAGTTGAATAAATTTAAACATACAATCGTAAGTAAATATTGTTACGTGACAGAACAAATTATGAGGAAACATTATACTCCTTAAAATAAACAAGTTAATATTGTTATTAGGGTGTTAACACTTTTTATAAGATGGCGAAGCGTGATTATGATTAATTATACTTGTCCATAGATAATACTGTTACGTCTCTGTATGTTTGTTTGTTAATTCTTCTAAGATACAAGTCCTTTCTTTATAAAA